GAGAATCTTGCGATATAAGATCACCGTTCTCAGTATGTTTCGAACATCATCCGCTTAATTAATGCCCAAACTTAGGCTCTCTATATCGAAAGAAACATCCTTTTAGATCCTTCCAATACGTATATAACGTATATATACACAATATATTGTAATAATATGTTTAAGAACCTTTCGTTCTCGATCACCGTCAATCGACTGAGAAATGGGAAATCACTCGTCAAAGAGTCTTGTACGAAGCTGCGTATCTATCTCGACAACTGCAAGCATGTTTGAAGTAAAAACTCCTTTGGTTCTCCTGTTTCGTGCTCTTAGGTTTCACACGTCGAATATCGTGTCTCGGTGGCACTCGCCTGATTTGTTCTATTGAGACTGCGCGAATGCTTGCGAGACTCCCAATGATATCTCTAATTCGCTTAAATATTTGTTTGAATTTTCACTCTCGTCAATGCAGCCGATAGCATTACTCTACTTAAATCTGTGACATAAAAACAGAGGCGATAATGATTAATCCAAGTTTCTTGGATTTTGCATGCATGCGACGGGCAGAGAGGAAACTTTTGAGAATCTTGGGAGATCCGTTTCTAGCGCTACCTGTTGTCTCGATCGAGGAACTAAAAATCTGAAATATATATGTATATATATTTCCACTTGATATGTATATATATTTGTTCTTTCAATTTATGAACATATTGATACATTTTTTTGATTTTCTTCTGGTAAAATATTTAAAACAGGCTAGGTTTAAAGAAAGATTACTTGATTTTCTACGGATTTATTGTACTCCTCTCTTCCGTGCACTCAATCTTTTTGCAAAACTGATATTATTTTTTTCCCTTCTAAGGAAGTTCCCTTTATCCTATGAATTTGCATTGGTACACAATGGGAGAGAATAAAACGCATTGTTAACGTAGATTTGAAAAAAATGATGACTCTGATATTCTGACATTCTAGCAGATCTATCGAGCCAATTGCGTGATCAATGCTGCGCACATTTCAAAGAATTCCATAGTGTGATGACCTGTTGCCTGAGGTGGCGGAAGTGTGGGATCTAAAATAACGCTTGCATTATTGATCGATATCGTCATTAACACTGACGGCAGGTTGTTTACCTCGCCCAATGTCTTCTTCCTCGTTTGATAAAGATTTGAAATCTAACAAATAACTTTTGTAATCAACTTGATAAAGTTGTAACGACATCTTGCTGTATCTGTCTGTCAGCTTATTCTTTTGACGCACTCTGACGCTGTAAGCGTTTATGATTTTCCATTCCTAAAAATACAAACTGTTTTTAAACATTAAATTTATTATTTTGCACGTTGATCTAGGAGAAAGATCTTACGAAATTGAGAGCTTTCATAGCTCTATAGACTTCGTTCATAATGTCGTTCGGTTTGGATTGCGAACGAATACCTAGATGCCACTTGGCCCGTTTTACTGGCGTGCCACGAGCTCCTTGTATCGAGGATGATGTGCTTCCTTGAGAGCTTTGTCTTTCTCGTAATGCTGAAACGGACAAAGAATGTATTGAACATCGTTTTCGTAAATTTTACATAATGAAATAACGAGTTATTTTTTTTTAAGTTCTAGAAATAAAGTGCTGGTTTATCTTCTTACGTGCTATTCTTTCTGGATGTGGTCTTAAAGGGCTGCTGCTGGTATCATTAGGACTAAAAGCAACAGGAGGTGGACTAGAAGCCACATAGAAATCTTTTAACTCTGCCTTAGCAGCCTCGTCTGCAATTCTCTTATTGTCTATTATCAAGTGATAAGCAATTGCCAGCTGATCGTGAGGATCTCCACCTAACAGTGCTGAATGAACTTCTGCTTCTTTTACATTGAATTTTTCGCAAACTTCGTTTACTGCGTCTATATCAATTACAGAGGCGTCTTGTTCAACAGGTGAAGGGAACAAATACGAAGGTAAATCCTTTTGAAACCATTCGTGTTTCCTAAATCAAAAATTTTTTCATCTATTTCCAGCTATTGAATATCTAATTTTTAAATTGTGCATAAAATGGAAAATAAAGTGCGTATAATAAAAAGAAATGAATGTACTTAATATCTTCAATCGTTGTCCTTTTCATAGGATCCACCTGCAACATGTGACATAAAAGACTTACAACAGTTTTATTCAGGTATTCTGGAATAGGGAAAACTCCAGCTAAAACAAATATTTGAAATTTTTTATGAACTATTAAAGTCAATAGATATAGATTGTTATTACTTACATTTAATTTTACGAAAAAGTGTTGGTACATGTTCATCATCAAATGGTAAAGTACCACAAAGTAAAGCATATAATATTATCCCACAAGACCAGATATCAACTTCAGGGCCAGCATATAATTTACCAGAAATTACTTCTGGCGCTGCGTAATTAGGGGAACCGCAAGAAGTACGTAAGAATTCTCCATCCATCATCATGTTCGATAAGCCTATCAAATTATCAAATTATTTCAATAATTTAATGAAACAGACAACAGATTTTGTCAATAAAATTCCAATTATATCTAAATACCAAAATCTGCTATTTTTACATGTAGATTGTGATCTAGCAATAGATTTTCTGGTTTTAAGTCGCGATGAACTATCATATGCCTGTGACAATAATCGACGCCAGAAATAATCTGTTGGAAGAATCTCCGAGCCTCGTATTCTTTTAGTTTGCCATGCTTTACAATATAGTCAAATAATTCTCCACCAGATACATATTCCATTATCATAAATATATCAGTGGGTGAACTTATAACCTGATATCTAAATCAAAGCAACAATATACAAAATATTAACAAAAACTTTACATTATTTATTAACCAATATCTTATAAAGTACATTGCTGTTACTTACAATTTAATAATATGAGGATGTCTGAAAAGTTTCAGATTTTGTATTTCCCTTCTAATCTTCCCAACCACATCTAAACTTTTAATCTTTTGGCGATTTAAAATTTTCACAGCAACCTTATGTTTTGTTAAAACATGTTCTCCAACTATGAAAAAGATAATTTATATAATTTATATAAAACAATTATATATAACAAATATGTCACAGTATGATTTCATATAAAAAAGTAATGAAAGCTTAGTCAAAGATTTACATACTTTTTACTTTACCAAATGTACCGACGCCTAATGTCTGTCCTAGTGTATAATGGCCAATTTTAACAATTGGCTGTGGCTGATTTGATGAAGTTTTCTCAGACATGATTGTTACTTCTACAATACCTAATAAATATTATTAATCAAGAACAAAG